ATCTGTTGCAGGATCCATAGGCGAAACAAAACCATGTCTGGTAACAGGGTTGCTGGGGTCATCGAGTGTGCATGCTCAGTGATCGATCATCTCGACACACATCACCATTAGATATAAAGTATGGGCCTCAGCACCTTCAAACAGGTGCCTTCTGAATATTCATGAGCCTGGTAGACATGCACGACGCCACAAAGATTGAGATTCGAGGGTTACGATAAGTTTGTTGTTTAACGCCACACTCAGCAATATTCCAGCTATTTGACGGTGGTCTGTAAATAATCGAGTCTGGACCAGACAATCCAGTGATTGATATCATGCGCATCGATTAGGATTAGGCAATTAGGATACGATGACATGCATCAACCCAGTCAGCGAGCCTGACCACCCGATCCCTTTTACGGCAAGCATGGCGTAAAATAAGGAAGATAGCTCAGTTGGATAATGTCTTTATGCAAAAAAGCAATTAGTCGTTCGATCCTTCATGATGATAGAACAAGGGATAGTAATGAATTCCATATAAGGAGGCGCTTACTACGACATGGGAGGACAAATGTCATAAAACAAATTCGGGGTAGATTTCTTTGTCCACAGATGAGTTATCGCGCGCAAACCTGGGCTCAGTCATTGAATGCCCAGCTTTGGCATAAACACAGCATCTTAGCGACGTAATGAAGTGGCCCGACACTTTTATTACCGTGTCCGTCATGCTCGTGGTTTTGACACAGAGGTCCATTCATGGTACGACCCAGAATATGTAGAGGTCATGGAAAATGATAAATACAAAATAGGACCTCAGACCTATCCAGGCTAGCAAACCTGATCGTCATGCTTGATAAATACAATGACATTACTTATATCATTGCATTTTCTGTCCCTTTTTGACACAAATGTGTTTGACAAGATTGCATCCCCAGTACCAAGTTGTCAAATTCCTTATTGTTCTCGGTGCCTTAGGTTTGGTGCCTCCCGATCTGTTGACTGACATTGGGGACGATTGATCAGATCGTCTTGATTGGGCGCTGCCATTTTGTTTTAGGCAAATGAAATTGATATGAGAGGTTGAATCTGATTGGTCAGTAGGAGGGACATAGAAGAGACATAACTCGTAATAGCCACTAGTGGCGATACGATTCCCGAAACTGAAGGAAGCCGTCATGACCATTAGTGGACTTGCCCTCATTCCCGAACTAATCCAGACACATTGCTAAAACTGGACTTGGAACTGATAGTGTCTAATATATCGAACAGTATCAAGTATTACAAGTATTATAAGTATTACAAGTCTTATAAGGGTTGGATTTCATATTTTCATTGTATGGATTTTACAAATGTGAAATGTTTTTCATAATCAACTGTATAAACTCTTCAAAAAAAGAAACGCATAACTGTTTTGAGAATTCCAATTAGATTTTTGTTCCCAGCAATCGTCATAAAGACAATTGTTATTTTTGATTCCCGTTAATCATGTCATATTTGTTGCGCATTGCGCGCAAACACATCTCAAAATGTTTTTGGTAAATGTTTATCAGCAACAATGCAAAGGATGCACGGAAATTGCTTGTAGAAAAGGTTTTCAGCACAATACACGTGCAAAGTGTTGGAAACAAGAGTAGAGACACTGACTATAAAAGACCGTACAAAATTCATCAGTTCATTACGAATTTTCTGACGTGAACGGAGATCGAAAAATGCCAAGATTAACTGCAGTTGGCCGAAATATCGCCATTGGACGTTTGAAAGCGGGGGAGTCCCAGTCTGCCGTTGCAAGACACTTCAACGTTCACCAAAGCACCATATCTCGACTATGGGATCGATATACCCGCACTAATCCGACTCAAGACCAAGAGGGACCACCCCTGCTCAGGATCGGTACATCCGGTTGCATCACCTTCAGAATCGATTTGCTACAGCAACGGACACAGCAGGACAAGCGCCTGGTATGCGAAGAATTTCCGACCAAACCATCAGAAATCGTCTCAGGGAATTGGGAATTCGAGCGAGACGTCCAAAAGTTGGACCTGTCTTGGGGCGTCTACACCGTCAACGACGTGTCCGGTGGTGCAACAGAGTACAGGCATGGGATTTCAGGAACTGGCGACGCGTTTGGTTCAGCGATGAGTCACATTTTCTTCTTCAACGACGGGATGGAAGACAACGTATATACCGACGTCGACATGAACGTTTTGCGCCGAACTGCGTTCGACAGGCGGACCGATTTGGTGGAGGGAGTGTCATGGTGTGGGGAGCCATATCCTACACGGGTAGATCACAGCTAGTGGTTGTCCAGGGCAATCTTATAGCAAAACGATACATAGATCAAATTCGGCGCCCTCACCTCTTCCCAACTTTGGACCGCCAGAGGGAGCTGTTCAAACGTGACAACGCTCGGCCCCACACAGCACGTGCAACAGTTAATTTCCTTGTTAATAAGAACATCGATGTCCTTCCATGGCTGTCCAAATCGCCTTATCTCAACCCGATTGAACATTTGTGGGACGAACTTGATCGACGCGTCCGTCAACGTCACCAGCGTCCCCACACACTGGCACAACTCACCAACGCCTTACAGGAGGAATGGCGAAGAATTCCCCATGAAAAAATCCGACGACTTGTGCAATCTGTGCCAAGGAGGTGTCGAGCAGTGACTGTAAGAGGTGGTGTTACCAGATACTGACCATGACGCTACACATGTGCAATGACTGAACTGAATTAATGCTGACAGTGACGGCAATGCTTTTGTCGATCACGGTGACTAATTTCATTTGAATGTGTTCACGCATATTCTGTGTAGATACTTTTACATCCGCTTAATAAATATCCTTATTTTTATATATTAAATAAACTACAAATCTACTTCAAGTCTAAAATTATTCCTTATTTGTTGACAAGGGCATTGCATGGATAAGTTCATTATGGTATAGGTATAAAGGTTTTGCTCTTGTGTGCCCTGAACCATCACGTTGAAGTAAATTCTTTTACGTACAGATTGCTTGCTTACAAGTAATTGATTCAATTTGGGACACGTAACAAGGGACATATACGTCCCTCCTCATCAACACTCGCGTTGAAGTCGAATAAAATTCAAAATACATCACGCACCCTAATACACTCAACAGTTTTGGATTCTGTGGGAAATTCCCTCTTCTGTGATCTCATCCGCTGTCATTTCAGAAAGTGACCTGAAAATTTAGTACGTCGTAAATCTCGCCAGTTTTTACTCATGACTAAATCACCAATCACAACGTTGTTACTGTATGTTTAGAAATCTAAATATCGGATATTTACTCGAAGAATTGAATTTCAAAAATAGCATATTAGTGGTCATGGGTATCTGTTTTTCATCAAATCACCAATGATTATTCTGAAATGTCGCCGAGAATCGTTCAAAATGTTTTGGAAAAAACGCCAAAACGAACGCCGAAGTGAAGTGTCCGCCATTTTGAATAGTGATTCCAAAAATCACATTTCATGTATGCCGGTTATCATGGATTTTTTGTTTTGTTTGTTGAACGCCGCTCTCGGCAATATTCCATCTATATGATGGCGGACGGTAAACAATCGAGTAAATAATAAAGTCTAACTTGAAATCTGTAACAGCTGGAGTCCCGCAGGGGTACGTTTTCTGGCCACTGCTATTTCTTGTATATATTAATGATATCGTTGATGGCATTGATAGCAATATTCGGCTCTCCGCGAATGACAATTCGGTATGTGCAATTGTAGAAGATCCAAATAGTACTGCATACAATATTAATGGCGATTTGGGGCGGTCGGGAAGGCCAGTAGTTAAAGCGTTCGTTTTTCAGGTCGAAGACCTGGGTTCGATTCCCGACAAGGGCACTCCGTTTCTGATGTCCCCCGCCGTTATATAGCTGGAATATTGCTTAAAGCGGCGTAAATTAGATTGTGTGCTTCCACTCACATGTATCCATACATACAAGTTATCTTTGTTATTGTGGTTCACCACTTCGTGAGATCCAACTTCTCCCCCCCTCCCCCCTCCTCCTCCTATCCCCCATTGTCTTATCAATTACCACGCGTACGCTTAGGTGGACAAATGTTCATGTTTTTTTAGTCAGTGAACGTTTTCAGTGTCAGTTTGGGTCTTGATTCTTTAGATCGCCTTTCTACAGTTACATTTAACTGACAATATAAAATACCTGCCGGATTTATTGCAAAGAACAGCGAGGAACGAAATGTTGTTTATTTCACGATAAAATATTGTTCTAGCATGACATCATTTCTGAATATTCGAACATGCGCTCGCAACTTGATTTCGTCGTATATCAGACGACGGTATTTTCACATGTTATACATGTTTAAGAACCAGGTCACACTCACACCAGAGAATAACCAGTCTCGATTATTCACCGAAACAGGTTCAATTTGGCGTAAAAGGCAAATTAGTTGTGAAAAATAGACCAGTGGATCACTGAAAATGAGTGACGACACCAGGTGTTCTCCGAAAATGTAAGCACCCGTCACATAAGTTGCCCAAAGAGCGTGGGTTTGTTGCCTGACACGGCACAGCAGTAATCCTGGCATACGATGGTGGCATGCAAACAAATCAGACAATGACGTTATGGACTAGTAATTCAGCCACGCGATACGGCATCTACTGATTTCTTTGACACTAAAAAAGATATGTTAATTTAGAGTTACTTCTGCTGTGTATAAGTGCAGATATTCTGCTGCTTATAAGTAAAGAAAATACGTTAAAAGAAACATTTTCGTTTTGCAACAGTGGGGGTCAGTATTAATGTCTCGGCCCAAACATTTCTTCTGTAGCTGACTGAGCATAATTGAGAGATGTGACTGAGTTTATGATGACACTCAGGGACGTTAGTCTACCTGCAGAAACATCTACCCTTTTGGTTTGAACATATTTTTATTTCAAAAGAAATCTGGATCAGTAAACAAGCAACACTTTCTTATGTAAATACTTCTCCAGGTAATAACTTTACAACAGATGGTTATATATAAGATAGTGCTAAACATAAACATACTAAATGCACAAATGAAATACACAAAGCCGATACATTGAAGCAAGCAGCTTTCCATTACTACATACATAAAATTAAGTTACTCGAATCTTTTGCTTTTGACAATGATATCGGGAACTGATTTAAGAATAGTCATGTTTGTAGATCTGCTGACTAAACTACTGCCATGTAATATCGTTTTTAAATCTACCCTTTTCAAGTAAATATGACGTCAATCCCAGAGAATAATCAATTTGGATATTTTATAAAACAGATTTCACTCGGCGTAAAAGGAAAAATAGCGGTGAAAATTATTTGAATATCTCACTGCAAATCAGGGATGACACCAGGTACTCGTTCAATATTTAAATGGCGGAAGTGTACCTTAATAGAACCTGGCTAAAAAAATGAGATATGTTGAAAGTAAATTTGTTATTTACAAAAATATCTATTTGTCAAATAATGGAAAACTCTTGATATTTCTGAGATATTTAATTAAATTGGGTGTACTCCATGCCAGCCCATCTGTCGGTGTTCCAGGGTTGAATTGGTCCACAATATCCAAATTTTGTCTACAAGTTGTTATTCCGGGAACAGAGAACCATAGTTCCCAATGCTCGTCTCCCAATCAAAGTAAAATCAGAATAAAATCTCTGAATATTAGAAACCTTTAATTGTCCTCCTGTCCCTGGTGCCATTAGGAACAAAGTCATTTTATCCCGATCGAGAAAAACAAAATGTTGTGAGCTACAATATACCACAACACAATTGGCAGAAATTAAAAAGTTATACACTACAACAAAAAACGATTTTATTATGAGTTTTATCCTCTTTTAGTTTGTACATAGTTATCATAATGGTATATACAATTAAAAAACAATATCTATAGTAACGGATAACGTAAATCAACCAGGTTGTGGTAAACTGGATTTCTAGGACTTAATCGTCAGTGTTTAACGCACAGTTGTGTGTGCAACGTTGTCTTTTGGTAAAATACTGTGACGAATGCCCAAGCACGTGTATGGTTCTCCTTCAAGGGAACTCTATATGATCTAATATTATACGAATCAACGCAAAAGTAAAAGCAACGTTAGAAACAAACAACGATTTACTTCCGAATCTTTTTCAAACCGAGGCAAATTAACATGAAAAGAAAGAGAAAAACAATATGAGTAAATAAGTTGCTCCTACATAAGAAAGAAGAGAATATCTAGACGTAGATCTAAATAACATTTATCCAAAAGTATCTCAAAATTTTCCGGAACCAAAACCTATTTGTCTGTAGTTTTGAAGGTATGGGTTCTGTCTTTGGGTCGCGTTCCATGTCGGCCGTGTTTGGCGTTGGGCGATGGATTTAGTTTGAGGAGCGTTCATACATCGTTTTCCTGATGTGCATGTATGCAACTCTGGGTGGTAGGACCAGTCGAATGGACATGATCTGACCCAGAACTGACCATAGTTGCAAACGGCATATTTGTTGCAGGATCCTCTGCATTTGTGAGATTCGCCATAATAACTGCACTGCTTCTTGCCAGACATGCATTGAACGTCTAGGATGCAGTCATGAGAAACCTTGCATTCTGAAAACAAAGCCATTAATTGATGAAACAAAGTCCCTGAGTATAACTGAATGGCGATGAATTGTGTTGTTAAAGATGCCCCTTTCTTCACAATTTGACCCAAATTATAACTTGAAATAATTAATTTACAATCTGATATGACAACCCCGTGAGGAATCCAAGACAGAATAGGTTCCAAGTAAGCCATGCTTGTGGTGTGAACTAATGAATGACGACCTGCTGGTTACAATGTCTGACATCACGCCCCAGGCAGTCAATCAGTGGTCGCATGTCTCACATTCAATGTTTTAAAGGCCTCCGTGATACTTCTGCAATATTGCTGACTGGAAGGGTAGCTAAAAAATTAGAAATCCTAAGAAACTAAATATGGAGGAAAAGAACAATGCTTACCATGCAGCATAATTGGAGGATCTGGCTTTAATACAGGGGCTGTGTTCACTGCTTCCACGGGGTTAGGGTTAGGGTTAGGGTGAGGGTTAAGGTTAGTGTTAGGGTTAGGGTTAGGGTTAGGGTGAGGGTTAAGGTAAGTGTTAGGGTTAGGGTTAGGGTGAGGGTTAAGGTTAGGGTTAGGGTGAGGGTTAAGGTTAGTGTTAGGGTTAGGGTTAGGGTTAGGGTGAGGGTTAAGGTAAGTGTTAGGGTTAGGGTTAGGGTGAGGGTTAAGGTTAGGGTTAGGGTGAGGGTTAAGGTTAGTGTTAGGGTTAGGGTTAGGGTGAGGGTTAAGGTTAGGGTTAGGGTGAGTGTTAGTGTTAGTGTTAGTGTCAGTGTTAGTGTTAGTGTTAGGGTTAGGGTTAGGGTTAAGGTAAGTGTTAGGGTTAGGGTTAGGGTGAGGGTTAAGGTTAGGGTTAGGGTTAGGGTTAGGGTGAGGGTTAAGGTTAGGGTTAGGGTGAGTGTTAGTGTTAGTGTTAGTGTTAGTGTCAGTGTTAGTGTTAGTGTTAGGGTTAGGGTTAGGGTTAAGGTAAGTGTTAGGGTTAGGGTTAGGGTGAGGGTTAGGGTTAGGGTTAGGGTTAGGGTTAGGGTTAGGGTGAGTGTTAGTGTTAGGGTTAGGGTTAGGGTTTGGGTTTGGGTTTGGCTGGATATGAGCAGACTTAGCATTTGTCCATGGCAGGTTGTCCCTGTAGTTACAGTAGAAGGTGAGGACGATGTCCTCACTGAGGAAGCTGGGACAGTCTTGATTCTGTACATAACCCCACGTATTAAGAGCAGCTTGTCCATAGGTTTTGCTGTATTGCTTTGGTTTGCCTGCAACATCTGTGATATTAAGGACTCCCGAACAAAGATCATATCTGCCTGTCACTGGATCCTTACAAGCAGTGTCACAGATTCTTCCGCATGAGTCAAATGCTCTGAATAAAGCTTTGACTGGGCCGTTCTTAGGGTCCTTTACTGCAACGTAAGCAATGGCCAGTGAAGTAGCCAGACGCTGGTCAGTGATAGCAGACTCCTTGTACATCCCGCTGTAACTGAGTCCACTTGCTTGGACATACACTTGACCAAACCCTTTGCCATCGTCGCACCTGTCGTATGTTTTTGGAACACCCCGCATAGTGTTTATATAACGGTTAGTTTCAGCATATGCCGATGGCTGGTAGATGTCACTTGTTTTACTGACTTTTCCATTAGAGATTGGGTATGAGTCATATTTCTTGAGTCCTGGAGGTCGCATAGAAACAACCTTAACTGGTACATATACCCAACTATTAGTATCACAAGTACCATCAATACAAAAGTTGTTCTGAATGGGGAGTATATCTTGCTTGCAGGATTGTGTTTGTTGGGTTGGCACAGGCATTGACACAGTAGTTGGCTCTGGTGGACTTGTTGGGCATCCTGGTTGCCAAGGCTGACAGTTAGATGGCCTTGTAGGTGGCCTTGTGGCTGGCCGTGTAGGTGGCCGTGTGGGTGGTCTTGTGGGTGGCCGTGTCGGTGTTGTTGGACAGCCTGGTTGGCCCGGGCGACACCCTGGCATAGCAGTAGGAGGCTCAGGGGGTGCAGTGGATGGATTAATAGGATAGCATCTTTCCCTCTGGATGTTACAGCGAAGATATCTAGATCCGCAAGATGGTCGTGACTCAGAACAGTCGGGGGAAGGTTCGTACTCATACGTTGCCGTCAAGTCATCACTGTATCCCTGCTCTGCTGTCAAGCCAAGATTGAAACCCATTGATGCATTATTGGCATGGAAATCAGAGCCAAAATTCTCAGGGTAGTCTAACTGTGGATCGATACGGAGAGCTCGCTGGTTCATTCTAAAGAGTTCCCATATGTAGTCAACAAAGGCATGGTGAAGGAAGAAAGCAGGATCATACGCAGCTGTTTCTAGTTGCATCATCTGGCCTCCTATATAGACATGGACACCGCCATGATGGAACTCGAGGTCATTCTCAGGAACGGAGTTAGGTGGAATGATGTCCTGGGTCCTATTACGGGACAGAACAGCTTCAATCGACTGTGTGGTAAACAGCTCTCCATCTCCTCCAATATTTCTGATCAGAGGGCCATCATTGGGGGTTTGCCATCCAGCAAAGGGTCCATCACTCACAATTCCACCATTACCAGTATCAATTCCACCTCCCAGAAAGTCCGGGCTGAAGACGTGGGACTGACGAGGATTCTCAAGTTCATTCTCGAGTGAGCTGTCCCAGTAAGGTAGACAGATGCTTGGATCAACTTCCTGCAGAGCGATCTCATACCTGCAACACAAACAGTGAGTAAAGAGGTTTTGTTTAAACCGCTTCACACAGAATTCCAGATCTGTTATAGCTGCCATCGCAAAGTGTGTGGGTTGGGGAGGTATGGGTTGTGGTGAGGAAGCACACACATTTTATCCAAGGATAACTGTTGCAACGTCGTATGTACATCATCATTGAAAGATAATGGTTCCTTAGACCCCAACACAATGCATGTTGGGTAACGTTTTTAGACGACTGTTAAGGCAGCTTATATCGACGCTCTGCAGCCATGTGGAACCACAATATAAGTCCGTCATATTTCGTTTGAGTGAGTGAGTGAGTGAGTGTGTTGGGTTTAACGCCGCATTTAACAGTATTCCAGTTATATCGCGGCGTGTCAGCTTAATGTGGGAGGAAAGGCCGAGGGGGGAAGTGATGCAGGTCTCAGACGTTAACAGCTTCGGTGAAACCCACGGGTATGGTGCCGACAAACCTAGAAACATAATCGGGGCGAACCGGGATTCGAACCCATAATCATAGGTTTCTGGCGTGCCCAAGGGACGCAACTCTGCACAGCGAATCGCGGCTCTACAGGTCTGTTACGGACTACCTCAATAAGTGAGACACAATGGCAGCGCGTCCTAATTCATTAATGCCAAGTGCAAGACGTCAAACCGTGTTAATAAACAGAGGATATTCGTAAACGATCATGCAGTCAGACTCTCTGACGTTTCTCAGACCAAAACGTTTACCAAAACGCTGGGTTCAAGATTAAAAGGTTTAAATGATCGGAAACAACACTTTTGTATATACCTGTTCGGGAATGTGGAAGTAGTCTGTCAGTGTTTAAGTCATTTCAAGAAGACAATCAACGTCAAATTGCGTCATTCATACGCTTATGAAAGTCAGTTTCGCGGTCATGTGACCTATCATGTGACGGCCAGAGCCGTATATCATGTAAACGACAAATAAAAACAATTTAAGCACGTTAAATGCCAGGTTTTTTATTTTCTCTATGTCGTGTATGCCAATATTATATAAGCAACACAATGTTGCCTATGCATTGAAAGAGAAGGTTAAAAATGAACTTGACAGGTCTGAAAAGGCTTGAGTATTTGAGCGAGTTAAACAGTCAGACTGGACTGTTCCCATTGTACTGGTAGTAAAGTCAGACTCGTCAATACGGATATGTTGGGACAATAAACTCATCGTCAATCAGGGGCCAAAACCTGACATCAACCAAACTCCAAGGATACAAGACATGTTCGTATCGTTGTCTGGTGTAATGACCTTCACCAAGCTCGAGTGATGCATGTCAGCAACTTGTTCTTGATGAGGAAACTAGGAGGCTGACAACAATAAACACACATCCAGGATTGTTCCAGTACCGTCAGTCCCCGTTTAGTATATCCACGGCCTCAGCGATATTCCAGCGTACTATAGAATGCATCTTGACATTTCATATGTATGTGTCTACATAGACTACATTCTCATAACAGGGGTAGATTAAGGAGAGCTTCACAAAAATCTCAAGGCTGGACTGATTGAGTGCAGTCGGGCTCAGATTCAAGACTACTAACTATACAGAGTTCGTCAGAAGAGTATCTTGGACACAGAATAGATGCTGAAGGATTAATCCCCTTGATGACAAAATATAAATAATGGTGTCTGCACCAGCACCGAAAAATGTGACGGAGCTCAAGTTATTCGTGACGTTGGCACATTGCATTGCCTTCTCAGGCAAGATACAGCAAGGGAATGGACAAGGAAAGAACAGGAAGCGTTACAGAAGGTCAAGTTACACATGTCATCTTGTAAGTTACTGGTTCACTTTAACCCCAAATGACGGCTGAACCTGGCGTCTAATGCCTTGCCCAACAGAGTAGGTGCAGTGCTATCCGATGCCATTTAAGATGGGATAGAGAACACTTCTAGATCGCTATCCTACAGCTGAAAAGAACTATATTCACAGTTGGATAAGGAATATATTTGAACGAAAAAGTTCCATCAGTATCTGTTTGGTCGGAAGTGTTAGAGTGATCCGAAAAATACCTCTTGATTTTCGCAGAAGACCATCCCTCCATCGCATCAGCACAACTTCAGTGATGCGCATTGATGTTGTGCCGGCCAGGCTCAAAACTTGCAAATGCAAATTGTTTAAGCAAACTGACCCCAGACCAGACAGTTTCAGTCACACCTCTTCCAGGAGACACCATTTTGTTGTTTGAAAGTATGGAAGCATTTCCCTTGAATGTTTCAGAGATCAGAACATGGTCAGGAAAGAACCCAACCTATCTGGTGTCAGGAAGCTGGACCAGTCAGGATTTCTCGACAACTTGCCAGATGACATTAGTGTGCAAGGAAAAGTGAGCTTAGTGATCAGGATGGAGCAGTGTTGTGGGGTAAACAGGTGGTCGTACCGCCACAAGGTTGATTGAGAGTCATAGAGGGGCCTCGTGAAATTCATCCTGATATTTTCACGCAATAAGACCTCCGCAAACCATAAAGCCTGTTATGGCTGCAGCTTGTGTCGACGCTCTGCAGTAAACAACTATGTTGAACTACAATATATGTCCATCTTATTTCTCATGAAGCATACAGGAACAAGATCCCAGTTTACCAGGATAACAATCCAGGATTCGATCCCACAACCAACGGATCTTGTCCTAAGCTTTCACAACTTCGGAATAAAACAAACAATTTGAGTAGAGTTATCTATTTTTTTTATTGAATATGTAACATATTCGTGTTGTAGGAAACGCTTCAAATTCAAACAATTTCAAACAATATTTGTTATTTTTCTTAAATTTATATCATTCTCTTCGAATCAATTCTGCATCTGAGAATGTTTACCGCGATGTTGTAATGCTTAAGAAAGGATAAAATTGGATCTTAAAAATCTGTCTTTTA